CCCCGCCGGCCGCTCCGCTCCGCGCCGCGCCGCTCCATGTCGCGCAGTGACCCCGCGCAGCGCCCGGCGCACAATAGCGAGAGCGGCGCCGGCGCTGCGCTGCCAGCCTCGTACCTACAGGAACACGCCTATAACGCTATAGACCTGCGGCTCTACGTCTCTGCACGATACTGACTTGTGGTTGCTTCCTGGGTCTGCCTCGTCCTCTCTTCTGAGGCTCTGCGGTTGCAGGTTGCTCCTGGGCAGCAGTGGAAGGCTGACCGGGTCCCTCACCTTGTGCACTCATCGCGACTCGTGCTGCTCAGCCTCAAAGCGGTCTCTCCAGAGCACCTTGGAAGGGGGGGAATCAAAAGGAGCTCTCGCTGCTTTTGCTGCTCGCTGCCACCACCACACCGGACGTCCTGGTGCTGCCAAAAAGGAGAAGAGAAGGGGAGGAGGAGGAGGAGGAGGTGATGGTGGTAGTGGTGCTGGTGGTGGTGGGAGAGGAGGGGGAATGAATCTCGCTTACAATTTAGGAATGGTTAGTAACATGAAGAGGGGAGGCGAAGAAAAAAAAAAGAGGAAAAGAAAAAGAAGAAGAAACGGCAGAGTAAAAATTGCAACTCTGAAAATGGAAGGAGAGAGGGGAAATAACTCCGACGGTATTAGGAGCAAACCGAGAAGGGGGAAAAAATGTACAAATTGAAAGCAAGTGGTGACTATCGCCCTTAGATCGGATCAGGACAAATTAAGATAAGACACACTGAAAATGGACTGAGAGCGGTGCACGGTCTTGCTAGAAGCATGCAGCCTGGGAAGAGGGGGCTTCGGCAGCAGCGGGCAAAAAGAGCGATCATTTAAAAATAATAAAACGATTTGGGAGATTGGGAAGAAGAAGGGAAAAAAAAAGAAGAGAGGAGAAAGGGGGAGGTGGTCCTGGGTTCGTGTCTGTGAAGTGAGCTGCTGGGACTGCAAATAGTACTATGCGCGTCCTGCCCACGGGTTAAACTAGGATGAGGATTTAAAAAAAAAAAAAAAAACACCTTTACTCGGGGGGGGAAAAAAAATAGGAGGGGGCTGGAGAGAAAAAAAAAAAAAAAAAAAA